CACGGTCGCTCTTGGCAGAATCCGTGTCTGACACAGCTGTCAGGCTCTCCTGGCAGGTCCCTGAGTACCCCAACGGGGGCATCACCAAGTATATTGTGGAGCTGCAGCAGGTGGGGGGCACCAGTGAGCCTCAGTGGATCGACACTGACAGCGGCGCAGAGACCACCAAGATCGTCGGGGGCCTCAACGCCAGCACCAGTTACCAGTTTCGCGTCCGTGCCAACTCCCATGTCCCAGGGGAATGGAGCCAGCCTGTGAAAGCCAAGACCCTGGGGGACGGTGAGAAGGGTGTACAGCAGGCAGTGAGCTCACAGCTCTGCTGGAGCTTGGGCTCAGCATCTGGGTCAGCAAGGAGTGACCAGGGTGCTCATGATCACCTTAGAGACTGGCACTGAAGCAGCACCCCAAGACCAGAATACCTGTGGGTGTCTTCAGAAATCCTGCTCCTCCTAGTCCTGATGGGGCAGGGGTGGCATGGTGACAGCACAGCATCCACACTGTGGCTCTGCCTTGACCAGAGGGTGACATGGTGCGTGAGGGACTAGAGAAGCAGGACAGAGCTGGCATGGGAGGAGTTGGTGGGTGGAGCTGGTTGGAGGTCCAGAAAGCAGAAGGTTCTGTGGCTGGGCCCAAGCAGTGACACCCTCATTCCTGTGCCACTATGGCACCAAGAGCCTGGGATATGGTAGAGGTGTCTTCATGTGGTCCCAGAGTGCTGGAAGAGGGCTGGGTGCTTGGCCTGCACAGGGCTCAGCCATGTACCATGACCTTTCATCCCTCCTTTTGGCAGGAGCACTGAGCGTGCCACCCAGCCTGGGCAGCCAGAGCACTGAGCAGGCAGGAATAGACCAGCAGCTGCTCCTGGCCATCGTTGGCTCCGTGTCTGTCACCTGCCTCACCATCCTCTTTGCCCTCCTGGCACTTTTCCTCATCAAGAAGAACTTTTTCCACCGGCGCCGCACCTTTACGTACCAGTCTGGCTCGGTGAGTGCTGCCTGCCCCGCCAGGACCGTGTCCCCAGCTCCCCTCGTCCCAGCCCGATCCAGGTCACGCTCTGTAGCCTCCAGTCCGGATGCAGCCAGACCTCACTTCCACACAGAGAGGGTGCGGAGCCTGCCCTTGCCCAGGACACCTGCCCTGCCGGGACTGCCGCGTGGGCAGAGGGGTGCCCGGTGCTGCTAACCTCACCCACTCCCATCTGCCAGGGGGAAGAGACCATCCTGCAGTTCAACTCGGGGACCCTGACCCTGACACGCCGGCCCAAGCCACAGCCCGAGCCCCTCAGCTACCCCATCCTGGAGTGGGAAGACATCAAGTTTGAGGACATGATTGGGGAGGGCAACTTCGGGCAGGTCATCAGGGCCATGATCAAAAAGGATGGCCTGAAAATGAATGCTGCCATCAAGATGCTGAAAGGTGCGCATGGCAGGGCTGCAGGGTGCAACTAGATCCTGGACCATGCCTGGGGCTGTGAAGGGGCATGAGCCATCAGTAGAGATGCAGGACAGACAAACTGACTGAGTTTGTCAGTCCTACAACAAACACCTCAGGCCTTTGTTGTAGGACTGAGGTGTCGATCTCTTCTTTGCTTCCAGAATTTGCTTCAGAGAACGACCATCGTGACTTTGCAGGGGAGCTGGAGGTGCTGTGCAAACTGGGCCATCACCCTAACATCATCAACTTGCTGGGTGCCTGCGAGAACAAGGGTGAGGGGTGTCCCCCTCTGCCCTCTTCCCAGACCTATGGGCCCTGCCCAACTGTGTATTCCTCTTTGCTGGGGTGAGTCCCATGAGCCCAACCTTCTCCTGTCACCCAGGGTACCTGTACATCGCCATAGAGTATGCTCCCTACGGAAATCTCCTCGACTTCCTCCGCAAAAGCCGAGTCTTGGAGACAGATCCAGCCTTTGCCAAGGAGCATGGCACTGCCTCCACCCTCACCTCCCAGCAGCTCCTCCAGTTTGCTTCAGACGTGGCCAAGGGGATGCAGTACCTGAGTGAGAAGCAGGTACATCCCCAGCAAGCTCATCAGAGCATCCTTTTTTCTGGGGCCAGCAGGCAGCATATGGCTCCTGCTGACTGCTGGCCCCTTTCAGTTCATTCACAGGGACCTGGCAGCAAGGAATATCCTGGTGGGAGAAAATCTGGCCTCCAAGATTGCTGACTTCGGCCTCTCCAGAGGGGAGGAAGTCTATGTGAAGAAGACAATGGTGAGGCAGGAGCAAAGCATCTCCATGAGTCCTGCCTTCAGTGGGAACAATCCACCATGCTAGGATCGGCTGGGTAACCTCTGCCCTCCATTCACAGGGCATCCCCCCTCCTCTGATGGTCATTCCCTCTGTTTCCCCAGGGTCGCTTGCCAGTTCGCTGGATGGCCATTGAGTCCCTGAACTACAGCGTGTACACCACCAAAAGTGATGTGTAAGTCCTGCATGCAGGGGCACTGGGGCTGAGGCATGGCTGTGGCCATCTCCATCCCTCTCCGGGGTGGTCAGTGCAGCGATGCTTTTGCTCTGGGTGCTGCAAAGGCTGGAGGTGATGCTGATGCATCTCCCTGAGGAGCTGCCAGCTCAGCCCAAGCCCTGGCTGCCCACTCCACCCTGAGCTTAGGGTGATGCCCTATGGCCATCAGTGGGGCATCACAGCATCAGCTCCTGCCTTTTCAGGTGGTCATTTGGTGTCCTGCTCTGGGAGATCGTCAGCTTGGGTAAGGCTCTTCTGTGTCCCCTGCCTCCACTCAGGGAGGAGGACTGCCCCCCCTCACCCCACCCCCAGAGGGGACACCTAAGGGACCATCCATCACAGCCAGTTGTGTCTCTCTGGCCACAGGGGGGACGCCATACTGCGGGATGACTTGTGCTGAGCTCTACGAGAAGCTGCCCCAAGGCTACCGCATGGAGAAGCCACGCAACTGTGACGATGAGGTGTAAGTGTGCACAGAGCCCCACATCCCCCTGACCCCACTGCCCCATGGGGCTCCCACCAACTCACAGTAGTTCCTGCCTGGTTCTCCTCTGCATTGTGGCGGGGGGATGACCTCGAGTCCCACACCCCGAACACTCTTCCTGGGCTTTAGTTTCCTGCCTGCTCCCCCTCACCTCCCACAGATAGCTTTTCTGCCCTCTCCACCTCCATGCACACTGAGCCACCACTGGCTCTCTGCCACCAGGTACGAGCTGATGCGGCAGTGCTGGCGTGACCGCCCCTATGAGCGCCCACCCTTTGCCCAGATCTCCATGCAGCTCATCCGCATGCTGGAGGCTAGGAAGGTGAGTGGTGACAGCTCAGCAGGAGGGGTACTCACCCTGCATAGTGCTTGACCGAATGCTGGAACATCCCTTGGGCTTGGGGGGGAATGACGTCCAGCAGCAGAATCTGTGTGACCCCACTATGCATGGGGGTAACCCCAGCATCACTTTTTGGGGTGATGAGCATGCCAGCTGGGATGGGAGGTAGATGGGGACACTGTCCCAGCTGGCTCCTGACTGGGGTTCCCCTGCAGGCCTATGTGAACATGGCCCTGTTTGAGAACTTCACCTACGCGGGGATTGATGCCACTGCTGAGGAGGCGTGAGGCTGCACTGGCACCGCACAGAGGGACCTCGCTGGCCCCAGCTGCTGGGACAGTGCATGGGGACAAGGAGCTGCCCATCATTCTCCGGGGCCAAGCATCCAAACACCAGTGCCCCTTGCTGAGAGCGTCTTTGCCACAGCAGGACTGTGCCATCCCCTCACTGGCTGCCCACCCGGTGTGTGCTTGCCCCACTGGCATGCCATCAGCCACCAACACAGCCCCCTGCTGCTAGGGGACATGCTGGGATGGCCCCAAGGACAAGCAGCAGCAGAGTGTTTGCAGCAGAACAGGCAGGAGAGGGGCTCTCTCAGGAGCCAGGGCACTGCTGCCTTAATCCACGGACACAAATGCTCAAGCTCTGGGGCAAGAGGGGAAGCAGTGACCCAGCAGCTGCCTGCCCTGCAGCTCTCCACATGCTCTGGACCTGAAGTGGTGCCAGTGGGACTTTGAACATCACAGCCTGCCAGCGTGGGACAGGGCCTCCCCGAGTGGAGTGCAAAGGCATTAGGGACAGCATCAGCTGTGTGCAGCCTCCAGCTCTGCAGTAACCCCTTGGATGTGCCAGTTCTGCCTTATGGACAATAAACATATTGGAACAGACAACCAGGTCTACAGAAGGGGAGGTGGGGACCCAGCTCTGCCCCCCTGGTGGCACTGGGGAACAGTATGCAGGGCCTCAGTGGTATGCTGCTGTGATGGGCACTCTTCAGGATCGTGTCGCTGTTGGGGTCTTCTGCTGATCCCTAAGGATGCCCCAGGACCCCCAGCCAAGCCCCAAGTCTTATCATGCCAGGTGGATGGGTTTTCTTAGATCCATCTGGGATCTTTCCCCCTGCAATTTAAGACTTTGTCCTGTTCCCGGGGGATATGGAGAACAGATTGTGTCCTGCCTCTCTGTAGCTGCCTCCTGCACGCTTGAAAACCCTTCCTGCATCTTCCCCCTGGTTGGCTGCTCCTCCCAGGGGTGGCCCTGCTCCTCTGGGCAGTCCCTGCAGGCTGTGCAGCTCCGCGCCTTGCCCAACCTGGCCAGCTGGTGCCTATCCAGCACTGCCTGAGTGCCAGTAACCTGCTGTGTCTCACAAAGGGACTGTGGTGGTCAAGCACCCTGTTCAGCCACATGCTGCTGGGGTGATTCCCTCTCCTGTGCTGGTCCCTTGAGGATCCCTCCATGGGAGCTGCTGCCCCAGCCTGCGGTCCCTCATCCTGCACTGATGGTGTTTGCTATTGGCAGCAACAGTGTGTAGGCTTCATCTCTGCTGGCTTCAGCTTGCTAAACCCCAGTGTGCCATCCAGCTGCCTGTCCAGCCATCTTCTGCAATCTGCAGGAAGCAAGGGACGGCCCTCTGGAGGCTGGAATCCCAGCCAAAGGCGGCGGGGGGGCATTTGCATTTGTCCTAGGCAAGTGTTTTTCCCCAGAAGGTGTTTCAACCCCGTCAATACCGTTTTGATTGCCCATTGTGGCCTCCAATGCTCTTTGGTGTCAATTGCAGCCGTCAGTAAGCAGCCTCTCCGCTCCATCACTGAAGTCCCCAGTGAAACAGTGATGAGCACAGGCCTCTGCAGGCAGCCTGCTGTGTGCCACTGGCTTTGCACCTCCTCCACTGCCAGTGGGAACAGCATCTGGGACAATGTCATCAGTCCTGCTCAAACCTGCTTTTGCCTCCTTGATGGCAAAGCCTGGTAGCTGGATAGAGAAGGAAGTGGGACCCAGTACACACCACTGTCAGTCGTCACAGGGTGGGATGGAGTCGGAACAGCCACTCCACGTCCTTTCAGCCCCCAGCAGCCTGCTCTGCCCTGTCTTGCCCTGCCCCACACAGGGGCCTCCCTGTTTTCTCAGGGGATGTTTTTCTTCCTACCCCAACCTCCTGGCGTGCCGGTAGCCACAAGGGCAGGACGTGCTGCCTATCTGATAGGAGCAGTCTCTCTTGGCACTGCGGCTGGCGGTGGAGGGGGCATGGCATGGTGGTTTTGGGCACAGGGAAGTGCCGGTGATGGGGTGGGGGGAGCCTCCAGCCAGGCTTCCTGAGCTGCACAGCCACCACTTCCCAGATAAAGGTGTCACCCGGAGGAGCCGCAGCAGCTCCCAGCACGGTGCTGGGAAGCGCCAAGAGCAGCACACACGTCCCCGGCACACGGGTTGCAGGATGGCAGCCTGCCTGTGCCGGGGCCGGCTGCTCCCTCTGCTCCCTGCTGTTCTGCTCAGCTTCCACAGCCCGCTGCTGGCCACCAAGCCAGTGACATCCGAAGGTAGGTCCTTGGGGCCATTTTCTTCCCCAAACGATGGGCCAGAGATGAGATGGCACACTGGGTATGGGCAGCAAACATCCCATGGCAGCCAAAATCCACAGGGCTGGGGAGGGAGCATCCCAGGAGGGTGTTCAGGGTGGGCAATGGAGAGCCCTTCTGACCTGTGGGACACCCTGGGGTGCCCTGAACAAAGGGACATCCCTGCTCTCTGCAGGTAGGACCTGGCAGCCCCTGGATTCCCTTTTGGGTTACCAGCCTGTGGCTCCCAGTCCCACACAGGTAGCAGAGAGGCTCCCCATGCATCAATATCAAGGATGAGCCAAATTCAAGCTAACATCTGACAGCACAGCTCTGCACTGTGGGTAACACAGCAGCCCCACCAGGCTAATCCCAAAGCTCCTGTGCCAGCCCTACCGTGATCTTACTGCCCTCATGAGCATCCTCAGCTCAGCCCATAGCTGGCCCCAGCCTGCCTCCCTGCACCAGGCAGAGCCACTTCATGGCTTTCTCCCATTGAAGGCCTATCCACGCTTTCCTTGAGCCCCTCCTTGGCCCTTTTATCACTTTCATAACACCATAAAAAGCATTCACTGAACCAAATCCTGTCGATTGCCTGCTCATCTCTCCAGCTCCACTCCAGGTCTCTGTCCACAGCAGGCTCAGGAGCACATTTTGAATCACCCCCATAGGGGCAGTGGGAGGAAGGTTGGGGTTGGGCTCATCATCCCCCTGCCCTCAGCTCATGGGACATTGCTGTGCCCCAAGGGCTGCAGAGTTGTATGGCCACTCTCCTAGGAAACAAAGCAAAGATGCTCTGATAGCTCACCAGACCAGTGTGGCTTCCCACCAATGCCATGGGACCCCTTTGCCACCAGGCTGCTGGGACCCAGCCATCCCAGCCCCTGGTGCTGGGACCTGGGGGGGGTCACAGGGTTGGCATGAGGCTTTGGGCAGGAGCAGTGGGGTGCAAAAAGAGAAGAGGAGGTGAGGGGCTGTGGGCTGGGGGGATGGGTTGTGGGCTGGGGGAGGAAGGCAACATGGCTGGGAAAGGAGGAACAGGGCTGGGGATCAGGGCAAGAGAAGGGACAGGAGAGCAGAGGGACACTGACATGACAAGGACATTTGGGGACTGTCACTTATTCTTTGCCCAGGGTGGGCTCAACTGGCAGTGCAGGGGGTGTGTAGCAAAGGACAGATGCACACAGAGCACAGCCAGGCAATGGCAGGGGTTTGTTGTGGGGCAGGCCCTGGGGAAGGGAGCACATCCCAGGAGGAAGAGGAGGAGGAGGAGGGCTTGAGCAGGTCCCAGGGCAGAGGCAGTGGGGGAGAAAGGAGTGCTGCAGCAATGCTGGGGGCAGCAAGGCCACTCCTGTGCTTCATGCATCTGCATCTTGGGGCTGTCCTCTCTTCCCTGACAATAGGGACTGGCACCCATGTGTCAGCAAAGCCACGAGTGCTTGGGATAGAGATCCTGCAGGGTGTGATGCTCTAGTTTATCCCGCCAACAACAGGGACAGCAGCTTTCTGAGTGGGGCAAAGAAACCCACTGCCTCTCAAGCAGTCCTGGGGCTGGGGTTTAAACATCCCCCCTGCTCAGGACCACACATCCCCATGCCAGCCCAAAGGCCCTTTCCCTCTCCTGAGGCACTGCTCCTCCTTATCTCACTTCCGCGCACCTTCCGGCTTGAGCAGGGCAGGGGTGCTTCCCCTCGATCGCTGGGCCCTGAGCCCCCCGCCAACCACAAAGCTATTTTGGGATGTTTGTTTATCCCAAAGGACCCCACGTGCTGAGGAGGGGGGAGCAGTGGGGCCGACCAGTGGGAGCCCTGCCACCAGCCAGGACCCCAGTGCAAGCCAGCAGCCAGCATGTACCCTATCCTTCCCCGATGGGCCAAGCTGTGCCTCAGCCGTGTCCATGTCCCCCAGGTGCCTGCACAGACTGACTTCAGGTGGCAGCCAGTCAGTGAAACATGGGGCAGGGGGATGTAGGTGGGATGGGGACAGGTTTGTGCCCAGGGGTTCCCTCATGCCCACACTCTTCCCAGATGCTGCGCTGCTGGCAGGGGTGCCCGAGGACATCCTCTGCTTCACCCGCTCCTTTGAGGACCTCACCTGCTTTTGGGATGATGATGATGAGGAGGAGGAGGAGGCAGTGAGCAGGATGTGCCACTTCTACTACTGGTACAGCAGGTAGGAAGTGGTGGGGACACAACCCATCTTCCCCTTGCCCACAGAGAGAGCAGCAGTGCTGCAGCCCTCCATCCATCCCACTCGCTCCCAGCTGCAAGGAGAGATGGTGGAGGGCCCACAGCAGCCACCCCACACCCCTTGGCTGTCCCTGAGTACCATGGGGATGGTGCCCTGCAGTGGATGGGGTACAGGGAAGATGCTGGTGACACCGAAAGGCACTGTGCCCCAGGTCCTGTCTCCTCCAGCCTGGCCACAAGCAGGAGGCATGGGGTGCTGCAAGACCCTGCTCTCTGTTCCTCAGGGACATGCCCACAGCATGCACAGTCTCCACATGGCGTCACGGGGCCGGCAGGACACGGCACGTCTGCATCTTCCCCAGACAGGATGTGCGGCTCTTCACCCAGCTCCATCTCCGCGTCCTGGACGCCACCAACAACCAGACCAAGTACAGGCGGGACCTCAGCGTGGATGCAGTGGGTGAGTCCCTCCCACTGGGCAATATGCCTGGGACACCAGGACAGTCCCCAGGCCTGGGTCCCCTGCCCTTGTGACCACCGTGGGGGCTGGCAGCACCCTGCATGCCAGGCATGGATGCAGCCCTTGAGGGACCTCTGCAGGACTGAGGGTGCCTAGACAGGGCCTGCTGCAGGAAGGCAAACACCTGGCACGTTCCCCACAGGTCTCATTGCCCCCCCAGTGAACATCACGGCCCGCTGGGCTGGGGTTGCAGGGCAGCTCTGCATCTCTTGGCAGCCACCACTCGCTGACTTCCTGAACTTCTTCCTCTATGAGGTGCAGTTCTGCCCTGCCAGCTCTTCAGACGTGTCCTGCAGCACCGCAGCAGGGCAGCACCCTGGGGATCCCTCCATCGATCTAGCCATCAGCACCCATGCACCCACCACCGGGGCAGCTGCAGCCTCCCCGGGAGCGGGGCAGGTAGACAGAGGGGACAGGGATGGGCAGGGGGATTTAGGGGGTGCAGCTGCTCCTCAGCCTGGTCCCTCTCCCATAGCGGCTGGTCCAGGCCAACACCTGGGTGGTTCTCCAGAACCTGCAGCCAGGGGTGAGGTACCACATCCAGGTGCGCAGCAAGCCTGACGGCACCTCCATGGATGGTGTCTGGGGACCATGGTCGCAGGCAGTGGCTGCGGAGACACCCCACTCCTCCGGTGAGCAGCCATCCCCACCACTGCAGTGCTGGCAGGCACAGCAGGGAGGCACCCATGCCTGGGGCTGCGAGGGTTGGGGGGCCTGGGGCAGGTGAGATGCAGCACACAAGTTTTGGGGGGCCAAGGGGTAGTAGCCCCCTCCCTCCCCTGGCTCTGTCTGCCCAGGAGACATCAGGCTGTGCTGCAGCACCCCTGACCTGCAGCACGTGCGCTGTGAGTGGAGCTGGGACACCACAGAGCTCCCCAGCTCACACCAGCTCTTCTACCAGCAATCTCCAAGCGGGGCTGGCACAAGGTAAGGGGCATGACAGGGCCACAGTCCTCAGGCAGAGGGGTGGCACAGGCCACTGTCCCATATCCCACTGTGCGCTGTGCCCTGCCCTGCCACCATGGGCCTCGCACCTCCCCACCACCACTCCCAACCACTCTGCCCCTCCAACTACGGGCAGCACCGGCTGCGGGGACAAGGGTGTTCACAGAGCAGAGCTGGCAGCGGATGAGGGGAGTTGGGCCACCACAGTGGGGCTGACTGGCTCCCTGCTCTTCAAACAGGGAAGATGCATGGCAGGAGTGTATAGAGGTGAGCGTGGGGACGCTGGGCTCCCACACCTGCACGTTCCAGCCCAAGGTTGACAGTGCCATCTCTGTCCTGGTGAATGTCACCCAGCCCCATCCACTGTCCACACTCAGCTACTTCAAGGAGCCCTTCTGGCTGCACCAGGCCGGTGAGTCCCACTGCCACCATGGCTCCTGCCATTGCCCATGCCTGGCTTATGGGGGACACAGCATTCTATGCCCCATTCCATGGCAGTGACACATCGCCATCCCCAACAGTGCTCACAGAAGCCCCACAGATTGTGCAGGCAACAGTGTCACAGGGCCGGCTGAGCCTGCAGTGGCTACCACCCCTGGAGGTGCTGGCAGAGCAGCTGCTCTACCAGATCCGCTATGCTGTTCAGAACAGCCATGACTGGAAGGTAAGACATGGCCAGGGCTCCCCCAGGTAGCCCTGCCCACCTCTGCTGCTGGCACATGGGCCACATAGGGTCAGGCAGGGTGGACCCACACCCCAGTGCTTCCCTTTGGCCACCCCACAGCAGCTGTTGTCTCCAGCTCAGCTCTGCCCCACAGGTCCTGCAGGTCCCACAGGCAGCCAGGAAAGAAGTCCTGGATTTACATCCAGGCGCCCAGTACCATGCCCAGGTGCGGGCCCAGCCCAGCGGGCCGTGGTACAAGGGCAGCTGGAGCGCCTGGTCCAAGCCTGTCGTGGTTGATGCCATGGTCGATGCGGGTAAGGAACAGGGCGGAAGCAGAGGCTGCAGCCATCAGAGCCACAGGCTGAGCGTGGGAAACTGAGTGCTGCAAATGGGATAGGGAGCGCCAGGTGAAGGTAGCAGGGCTGTGAAGGACTCAGCAGTGGCAGGTGTGGGGAGGGTTACAGTGCCAGCGTTCCTCCGATGCAGGCTGGACCATCCCCAGCATTACGTTGGTGCTGCTGCTCTTCACGGGAGCGCTCCTGGGCCTGCGGTGCACCTTCCCCTCCCTCTACAGGTAAAGGCTGTGTCTGGGGCTGGGAGTGGGAGTCCAGCACCAGACCAGGGGAGCACCAGGGCACCCCAGGACTGGGGTTTGCTTTGAACACCCCCTTCCCCACGCTAAGCAACATGAAGCAGAAACTCTGGCCCTCCGTCCCCGACCTGCACCGCGCACTGGGCAGTTTCCTCCACGAAAGCAGCAAGCACGGCCAGGTGAGGGGGGTGGGACAGGGCCCACCGCGGCCGAGCCGCCGCGGGCAGCCCCAGGGGCAGGGCCCACCGCACCCCTCCCTGTGTCCCCCAGCCCAACGCCTTCTACAAGCAGCCGCCGGAGGAGGAGGAGGAGGAGGAGGAAGAGGCTGTCCTGCCCTGCCTGCTGGAGGTGCTGCCCGGCCCGCGGGGGGAGGCGGGCTCGCCGCCGCCAGAGCACGCTGCGGACCGGCTGCCCAGCACCGACATCGCCAACCAGTCCTACCTGCTCATGAGCGGCTGGGAGCCCCGCGGGCCGCCCTGAGCCGCGCCCCCCGCCCTGACATAAAGGAGACGCGCAAACACACGGCCTCCTCTCCCGTTGTCTGCGCCCCGCGCCCACAGGGAAGAAACGCGGCACTACCCGCCCACCCGGCACCCGTAGCCGTCCGGCGGGGAGAACCCCGCCCCGTCCCGCGGATCAGCCAACCACGATGTGGCGCGCCGTGGTCGCCATGGCAGCGGGGAGCGGTTGGGTTTGAAGCAGCCAATGGGAGGAGCGGTAGCGCGGGGTTTAAATGCCTTCGGGGAGCAGGGTTGCGCGAGCGTCAGTCCCAGAGCGGAGGTGAGAGGCCGGGGCGCAGGGGGAGCCTGAGGTGCGGCCATGGCGGGTGGGAGGCTGCGGTGAAGCGGCCCCTAATGGGCGGCTTAGCGGGTGTCCTGTGGTGGAGGGGCCCCTGAGGAGTGGCTGGGAGGGCGTACTGCTGTGGTGGAGAGCGGCCCGGCCCGGGGCGGGGGGGTCTCCGGTGGTGGAGAGGGCCCCGAAGTGCAGCTGGTGGGGGGGGGGGGACCTGGCGGAATAGGGCTACAGCCCGGCCGGCTGATGTGGGTTCCGCTGACGCTGCGGTCCCGCAGCGCTCGCCATGGCGCAGTTCGTGTTCGAGACGGATCTGCACGGGCTGCTGAAGCTGGACACGCCGATCCCCAACGCTCCGCCCGCGCGGTGGCAGCGCAAGGCCAAGGAGAGTGGTGACCCTGGGCCCGGCCCCGCCGCCATCGTGTCGCCCATGAAGCCGCTTAATCGTTCCCACAGCTCCAGCAAGACGCCGTCCAGAACACCCGGTGAGCGGCGGCAACACAGGACAGGTCGGGTGGGGGAGCGTCACCCTGGCTGCTTGCCTGCAGCCATGGTGCTCTGAGCTCCGTGCCAGGCTGCCCTTCTGGTCAGGCAGGATGAGGTGGGCTACATGGCGTGGCTCCTGGAGTCGCCCATCTTCTCTCCAGTACGAGAGGGCAGAGCTGTGTGCATTGAGGCTGGGTGATCCTCCGGTTGAGCCTTGCTGGCATAGATGAGTGTTTAGACAAGTGGGGGCAAAACGGTCTGCTGATAGCTTTATAACAGTATTTTTGTAACCTCCCCTTATCTGTGATCTCTGGGATTGTTTTTCTAGGCCCAAGGAGTTGTCTCCTGGCACTCCCTCACCTGAGTTTAGCGCATGGGGGGAGGAGGAGACAAAAATTTGAGTTAACTGTGACTGGGTGGTATGACTTATCTTGAGTCCTGCTTGTCTGCAGCATGTCTCACAGGTGTGATGTGGTGGAGTGCTGGGTTTGCTGTCTCTTGAAAGCTCTAATACAAGCTGTTCAATAGCTGTAAGACAATATTTATATTTATTATAAATATGATATTTATGCATGTGAACACAGGTAAATCTGGATCCAAAATCCAGAGCACACCAACAAAGGCCGGGGGTGATCGCTACATTCCCAACCGCAGCACTATGCAGATGGACATGGCAAATTTCCTCCTAACCAAAGAGAATGACCCTGCTGAAGAGTCCCCTACCAAGAAGGTAAGCATGTTGCTAAGTTATAATTACTACAGTGATTACTATCAAACACCTACTTCTTCCTGGTCTCTTATCGTTAACTTATAAACTTAAAGTTCTGTCAAGTGGGCACATGGGGTTGACAGTCCCAGCCACTGCTGCTTCCAGCTCTGGGCTTTAAGAGCCACAGGCGAATGCTGTAGAGTCTGCAGATGGAACAGGCACTTAGTTGCTACACAGGAGCCTGAGTGTAGGTGCTCTATAGAGCTGTCTCCCTAGATGCAGAGAAGAGCATAGTCTTACACCTCTGCTTTCACTCGCTAGCCCATGCCGCTTCTGGTAGCGAAATTCAGCTTTGGGCTAATGAGGCTTTAAAATGTAGCAGGCTGCTACAAAGACACAAAGCTGTGAATCTGCTCGGAGAAACTGCTGGTGGTGTTATTCTAGGACAATGGCTACATGAGAGCTATTCTGGAATGTGTACACTGTGTTCTGAAAACTGTTTATAAAGCATTTAGTCCCTTAGGGCTGTGGCTTTCCCCACAGGCAATGAGACACTGAACTGGCCACTCTTGTATATGAAAATATTGAGCTGGACAGTGTGCCAATGTCTGAAGAAAAGCTTTGATGTGCCTGCCTGTAGCTGACTCCCACAGCACAGTTTTATACCTCCTGGTTTTAGGAGAAAGGGGCTTGGGTATATGCCTGCCAGCTGCAGTCTTAAGTGCAGCATGGACTTTGTGTTTTCAATGCATCTTACTGAGGATGGTTTGTCTCCAGGAACAACAGAAAGCCTGGGCAGTGAATCTGAATGGCTTTGATATAGAAGAGGCAAAGATCCTCCGCCTCAGTGGAAAACCACAGAATGCTCCAGAAGGTATGACACAGGGTTTGTGTGAGTTAACTCAGCTGGAGGGATCTAGGCAGAGGAGCAGCAATGCAGAGGCCCTGTGTGTGGACATGGGAGAGATCAACTGGCTGCTTCTTAAGGTTCCTGTGCGCAGTGGAGTCTCCTTTCTTAGGGTTCTTGAGGTTGTGGGGTGGCATAAGTTACAGTGAATTTGTTTACAGAAGTTGAAATGAGTGTTAATTGCTCACTTGTACAGCAGGTGGCAAAACTTCCTGAGGTCTGCAAAAGCTTCAAACTCTGCTGTGCACTGGTAGTTGAACTGCTAGTAAACATAATGGGATACAGAAAGCCAAGTGCTTGTCAATTAAACCTGTTCTTGTGAGTTAGAGAATCAGAGCTTACCCTGGTTCAGCAGTTTATGCTGCCAGTGATGAGCACAACTGCAGTCTTCCGAGTGCATTTCTTCCCTCAGGATTTCTTTTTCACTGGAGGGGATTTCTAGCTGGGTGAACAGTGCTCAGCTGGGAGGAAACATTAACTCAGGTTAACAGATCTGTTCCTCTGCACACAGGCTATCAGAATAACCTGAAAGTGCTCTACAGTCAGAAAATAACACCTGGATCCAGCAGGAAGAATGGCAGATACATTTCTTCAATGCCAGACCGGATCCTGGATGCACCAGAGATTCGCAATGACTATTGTAAGTAGGCTGCAACATCGAGTGCTGGGCACGGAGATCATTCCACACGAGAGCAGGATTCCTAGGTCCTAGTTCAGTACCTTATGCACCCAGACCAGCACTGACCACTTCTGGAGTGTCCCTCTCTAGCCTTTTAGGGAACAGTGGTCCAGAGCGCTGTGTAGGTAACTTGGATCAGGGCTATCTGACCCCATTACCTGGGCATGGTGACACCTAGAAGGCTGGTGAAGCACTGGTGAAAGGCAGGGCTGTCTAAACACAGTGTGACCTGCATTGCTCTTCCAAATTGTAGATCTGAATCTCATTGACTGGAGCTCTCAGAACTTCCTGGCGGTGGCTCTGGACAGCTCTGTCTATCTGTGGAATCACACCACTGGTGAGATTATCCAGCTGCTGCAGATGGAGCATCCAGATGATTACATTTCTTCTGTGTCATGGATTAAAGAAGGAAACTACCTTGCTGTTGGCACAAGTAATGCTGAGGTCCAGGTGAGTGTAGGAGTGAAACTAGAGCTGCTTCCTAGGGACTGCCAGAACTGGGGGGCCTTGGGACAAAGGCTTGACTAGTGCTAGAAGAATGCAGTGCATCCTGACTTGCCTTAACTGGTGTGGCATGGAAATGTCCACATCCAGTGACCAACTGCAGCATGCAAGGCACAGATTGGTTGTAGGTTTTTTCTGACACCTGAAGTTGTCCTCTGCTCTGTAGGCATGAGATACCAATTCTCTCTGCCCCTGTGCTGATGAGGTTGAATGCCAGAGCCTGTGCAATGAGGTTCCTGGGCAAGGCAATAGAGCTGGGTTTCCTCATCCTCCAGAAAATTTCTTCCTCTGTCTCTCCAGCTATGGGATATACAGCAGCAGAAACGCCTCCGAAACATGACCAGCCATTCTTCACGTGTGGGCTCCCTCAGCTGGAACAGCTACATCCTGTCCAGGTAAAGCAGTGGGTGAAGGGCAGCATCCAACTGTTGCAGATTCCTATCCTAGATCAGATTGGTGCAGATTAGGGATGGCAGAGAGGAATTTCTGTCCTTGCTTGGGATTCTTCTTACTCAGCCTGTTCTGTCAGGACAGTGGGGAGAAGGCCTCTCTGTTCTCTTGCCCTTTGTGCTGAAGTTGTGAAGAACTTCTGTGGCTACTTTGCTCACTCCACCAGGCCAGTGGCAGGTACAACAGTCTTGGAACAGCTCAAAAATGGTCTTTGGTGAAAACCAGCCTGACACTGCAAGTCTTCTCTTTCTGCAGTGGGGCACGAACTGGCCACATCCACCATCATGATGTCAGAGTGGCTGAGCATCATGTGGCCACACTTGCTGGCCACACGCAGGAGGTTTGTGGACTCAAGTGGTCTCTAGATGGGCGCTACCTGGCTAGTGGTGGCAATGACAACCTGGTGAACATCTGGCCATGCACCCAGGGGGACAGCGGGGACTTTGCTCCTGTACAGACCTTCACGCAGCACCAGGGTGCTGTCAAGGTGAGTGCAGGGCTGCTGTGGGCACATGCCTGTACATGCCTGTGTGCGAGGCAGGTGTGCAGCACTGGCTGTGCACAGGCTGCCCCTTGCATGTCTTAAGATGAACCTTTTTCTCTCAGGCTGTGGCGTGGTGTCCGTGGCAGTCAAATGTTCTGGCCACTGGAGGTGGGACTAGTGACAGACATATCCGCATCTGGAATGTGTGCTCTGGCACCTGCCTCAGTGCTGTTGATGCCCACTCCCAGGTGAGACATGAACACCAGCTTGGAGATAAACACCTTCTGGCAGGACACCTGTACAGAGCTGCTGGCACTTGAAGCGCAAAGGCATGGGAGAGAAGGGGACCATGCTCACCTCTGGGTGGTGAGCATCAGCACAAGCAGCCTGTCTTACCTGCACTACTGCCTCTTGCCAGGTTTGTTCTATCCTGTGGTCAACAAACTACAAGGAGTTCATTTCAGGCCATGGCTTTGCACAGAATCAGCTGGTTATATGGAAGTATCCAACAATGGCCAAGGTCACTGAGTTGCGAGGTAAGCTGGGCCTTCTGTCTTTGGAAGAGATGGGTAATAGAGGCTGAAGACAGGTGTAATCCTTGGTTAGAGCAGACCTGGGGTCTAGCCTGGAGCATTACTGATGCAGAATGGTGTCCAGGAGCATGCTGCTAGGAGCAGCTGAAGAAACACTGCTGCTCCAAGTGCATACCTGGGGTGTGAATTGATGCTGCTGCAGTATGGTGTGGAGATGGCTATGCAAGCTGGTGGGGAGTAATATGATCAGCCCATGCCTAACTGCACACCACCTCCTCCTCAGGTCACACTGCCAGAGTCTTGAACCTGACTATGAGCCCTGATGGTGCAACAGTGGCCTCAGCAGCTGCTGATGAAACGCTGCGGCTCTGGCGCTGTTTTGAGATGGACCCCATAAAGAAGAAAGAGAAGGAAAAGGCAAACAGTGCCAAAAGCAGCATCATTCACCAGGGCATACGCTGAGTGCACAGGACTGTTGTGGGGAGAGGGGCTTAGCTTGTTGTACAGTATTTTAAAAGTTAATAAACTGCTCTAGTTTGCCTTTTTTTGTTTTTATGGAGTCTGATGGAAGAGAAGGCCATGGCTCAAAGAACTGAGGTTTGCAATCCGGGCAAGTGGTTGAAGCTCTTATTCTTTAGTGCCAGTTTGCAGAAACCCTCAGCCTAGCAAACGTGTGAAGTCCTGGGAGACGGAGGATGCTATGCAATGGCTAAGACAGGTATGACTTCTGCCACACACACCCATGCTGACCACAAGCACACCAGCTCCACCAAATGGGGAAGCTGTAGCTGAGGTGACTTCCTACCCCTCCAACACTCATCATAGTGTGTTAACTTAGATTGCATATAAGGAGGAAATTCTTTCCTGTTAGGGTGGTGAGACACTGGAATGGGTTGCCCAGGGAGGTTGTGAATGCTCCATCCCTGGCAGTGCTCAAGACCATCGCCCTTGGGTGATATGGTTTAGTGTAAGGTGTCCCTGCCCATGGCAGGGGGTTTGGAACATGATCTTAAGGTCCTTTCCAACCCTAGATTCTATGATTCTAACTGCACTGGGGCTTGGAGGAAATCCCCCTGACTTGCTGGGGTGGCATAGGTGCCTTTGCAGTGAGTTTAGTGTTGAATTTAGCTGAATGCTACCTGGGGGGGGGGAAGGTGGGGCAGGAGCTATAAATATAGAGTGAGATGCTCTATGTATACTCATCCCAAAGGACAGGAAGGGATTAGCAGTGGCATTGTAGACTGATGCAAACCAGGTTAGTTTACATTGCCACAGCCAGCCTGGCTATCATGCAAGAAGCTCCCAGTGTGTAGCCTTTAGTCATAAGTTGTTCCAGCATACCTGATCCCTGTCCTGCCTTTGTGCTGAGGGGAAGCCCTATTGCCTTGATGATGCTGCATGCAGATGCTTGGTAGAGCTCGACTCTTCAGCACTTGAAGAAATGCATTCTTTCCAAGCTCAGTTATGTTGGTGGAGCATATTTGAGCTTTTAGCAAAAGCCAGTGCAGCTACTGCAGTCATGCTGCTCTGCATATTGATTGGAGCTGTCTGAGGGTGTGGGGCTGCCACAGACCCATTCAGCCTCTCCTTCAGCTGCACCAGGGGCTGCCAGGGCCACTGTACAGCTAATTAGCACCTCATCTGGGGCAAAGTAGCGTGACAAAGCCTGTGCTGTGATTAGCTGAGGGTGGATTGTTATTAACTGTTTTCACCTTCCCCTCAGCACAGTACTATGCTGTACTTGGCACCAGCCTCCTGCTCTGCCTCCCAAGTTTAACCCAGAGGGAGCCTTCTAAGAGGAGGTCCAAGGGATGAAGAGGCAGCTCTCCCCAACCAAATCCTAAGGCAGCAGCTGAACCTAATGTGGAAGAGGGCAGGGCCCTATATGGGTTAGACTCTTCCCCAGAGCTGTGCTGCTGCTGTAGCAGCCCTGCCCCACACCCCTGCAATGATCCAGGATGCAAGGAACCTGCAAGAAAGGCTTCTATGTCTGAAAACTGGTGCAGTTTTTGCTGTGGAAGCAAGCAGTTCACCTTTCTCAGAGAAAGCTTGTCTTGCCTCTCTCCTTAGCACATACCCACCCTGCAAAGCTGTGCATTATACACCCCATGAAAACCCCTGAGCATTACTAGAAGGTGAGGGTACTGCAGTGTCTTCCTTTGGCCCCCACACTGGAGCAAGGAGGTGCAGAGGAAAGAGCTGGGCACTGAGCCAGCAGGCCCAGGAAATGCTGCCATATACGGTGTGGATTCGGTTCAGAGCAACAGCTCCAAATGACCATGACAGCATGTAAATTACCAAGGGCCACAGCCAGCCCATGGAAAGATCTCAGCTAATGGGAACAATTGGAGGAAGGGAAAGCAGAACACATGCAGGGAACACCCCCTTTTAAAAGGCCAAGCAGAAGTAGTTCAAAAGTACTGTTACTATTTTGGGCAAAAGCACAAAGACAGGGCTGTGTTTACCAAAAGCCAGCTGAAGGAGGGGGAAGGAGGCTTGATGGGAAAAGCTCCATCTTCAGCTGGACTGTCACCTACAGCTCCTGAAGAGAAGGCTTCTGAGCACCTACCTAAGGGTTATACACCCCTTCATCAGGGACCAGAACGAGCCTTCCTGACAGTCCTTGCCCAGAGGAGCAGCAACTGAGACACCACTACACAGGTGCAGCAGCCAGACCCAGTTTAAGGCTTCATACATACAAGAGCACTAAGCCCTGTAAAATGTGGTGATGCCCACATGCAGTTTGGGTTATTTGGTCACACCAGTTCAGGTCAGTTGATGTTTTCTTATGTTCTGGGGCATGAGTATAGTGTACGGTAGCTCAGGCACAGTCAGCAAAGCTTTCCCTCACATCCAGCCATGCCCTAGGTCCAGCATTGGCTGGACAGCCACTAAAGCTCTCCCCACACCCCAAACAAACCTATAGTGAACAGCTTTTCTCCTGGCCACAAGCTACCCACCCCTCTGCCCAGGCTTGACTCAGCACCTAGGCTAGCCTCTCACAACGGCATGGGGAAGGCAGCACTGCACCCCAGCAGGGAAGCCAAACTGTCTCAGGTGGTAGAAACAACAGAGCGCAGCCAAGGCATGGTGCACTGCTGTAGCAAGAGGAAGACAGCAGGAACACAAACCTCCCTCTGACCGACCTGAGCTACATTCTGCACAGATCCACACTGCAGGGGCTGTCACAGCTGGCAGCAACTTCACCTTCAGCAGATGCAGAAGCCAAACTGCTGTTTCCCCATCACCTGGGGTTCCAGGGTCTTTATTCCCCACTCCACCACACCTCAGCTCCCTGGGATGTCTGAAAGGCAGCAGCACCTCCTGGGCCAGTGCACAGGTCCCAACACACACCCTGCCCCACCCCAGCCATTCTTTGACAGGGTGGAGCCACTTTCACAACAGGAGCTTTGACACATTTCCTGCCATGAGCACTGCTCTACTAGCACACTTGGGAACAATCTGCCATCTGCTTCATCAGCAGACTGCTGCCGCCCTCTCCCCCCAACACAAAAACCTGCTATGCCAGCTGCTGCTCTTGGCCCTGCCTCAACCACACTGGGCAGCACCAAGGACCTGGAACAGCTTCTGAGGACAGCAAGCCAGGAAAAAAAAGAGGGCTGAGCCATTTTTCCTTCTGTCTGTTTATTTGTGATAGAAGAGCAGCCCAATCTGACAGGGCCTGGCTCCTTCACCTCAACCTCAAGGCCAACAGCACGGTTTTGGTTACAGCCCGAGCAAGTGATGGGCACCAGGACCAGGAGAGCTGCTGCACCGCCCTGCTGGTAGGGCAGGGTACACCTTCAGATGCACAGGGGCAAGATGTGTTCACATACACCACAGCAGCACAGGCGACAGCCATCCTCTGCTGTGCTCACGCTGGGCCCAAGCGGGAAAGCCCAAGAGCTGATTCAAGGGGCAATTATTGCTCAAGTCTTGAGTATGCAGGAATGGAAATGGTCCAAGGCAAGGCTGAGCTTGGCCTCCCCCACTCTGGAGCAAGGCACCAGCTGCCATACAGGATCATGTAAGTGTGGCTGAAGCACACACTGAGCACCTAGCTCAGGCACAGAAAGGCAAGGCAACCTGGGCTTAGCGTGTGGGAGAGGCATTTCAGGCCATCACAACCCCTGCTACATAGTAGGCACACAGCATGTGTACTGTACTGGGCAGGTCTGGGCCCTTGAGTTCCATATACACCACCACTACATTCTCCATCGCTACACCTGAGCACAGCTATGCCAGGGCAGGACCTCCCACCCTGGGCACACAGGGGTTAAAAGGGACATGCAGCACTGTGGCATGGAACAAAGTGGCACAAGGCACGGTAGAGCAGGAGCACTCACGCTGGAGCTGGCAGCAGCAAGCAGCCAGGGACAAGCCTGCTCATCCACACAGGCTCTCATGAGACAGGGAAGAGGAAGGGGCACCAGGACAGGGAGCAGTCTCTTCTTTTGGTCCTACTCAGAAGGAAATAGGCCCCAGGCAGAAGGGCCAGATGTAGGCACTTGGGGAAGTTCCTTTGGAAACACTGGAATGGGACTGCAGCCCCACAGCTGTGATGCAGGCAGCTGCCTCTCTGCTCAGCAACACTGAGAAACAGCACAAGCCCTCCAAGGAGAAGTTGCCCATAGCTGCTCAGAGCAGAGGGGCTGGGCATGCAGACAGGACAGCAGGGCTTGGGCACAGGGGTACAACAGTCTGTAGGCACTTGACTTGGCTAGTGGTACCCAGGAGCAGGGGAACAGGTCCCAGCTGCCTCTGCCCCGGGGCTCTCATTGGCTCTGGGAGGGCCTTGCCCTCTAGTTGGCTTTGACCTTGCCGTTGGTGACAGTGCCATTCTCGTGGATGCTGCTACCGTTGTGCTGGGCTGCTTGTTGAGCCACCCTAGGCAACCGTTTGCCCTTTGTGTAGGACTGGTACCAGAAGTTGGAGAAGAGGATGAAGAAGATGGTCCCATAAATCCAGATGAGGTGGACGAAGATGGGAAACTGGTACTGACAGCTGGGCATGAAGTAATACTGAGAGATGTGGACAGAGACAATCACAAACTGTGCCTGGGAACAAGGCAGAGCAGGGATAAGTTATTCATGGGGGCAGGGTTAGGGACACCCCCACCCCCTCCCCCCTACAGAGACCTTTCTAAATTAAACCAATAGGCTCCTTTCCCACTCTGCAGTAGAGTGTGTGCCTCCTTATGTTGAGGCACAGTCAGCAGCTGGACAAGGCAGGCACAAGCCTCAAGGCAGCACATCTCTCACCCTCCCGGTGTGAATGAACCCAGGGGCAGCAGACTGAGCAGCACCCACACCCTAACCAGGCTGGTAGGGTTGTCAGAGGTCTCAGAGCTGTTAGAAACCCAGAGAAGCTACAGAAGAGACAGCTACAGCTGCTGGCTGCACCTTTCACAGGTACAGGGGCTGGCCTGCCCCCCACAAAAGAGGATGAGGGCACATGCTCTCCTCCACAGCAGACTCACCAGCTGGATGGCTGTGATGTGCTTCTTCCACCACAGATACTTTTGGAAAGCAGGTCCTGCTGCTGAGAGCCCATAGTACAGGTACATGACAACATGCACCATGGAATTGATCATGGCATGGAATGAGCCCATTCCCCCTGTTCAGAAAGATTTTCATTAGCATAAGTTAGTCCTCTGCAGCAGCCAGTGCTACAAGAAGTTTCTAAGAGCCCAACAGGGCCAAATCCCCTTGTCAGCATGCTGCAGCTAAACCCAACCTTTCCCCAAGCTGTGCACCGCTACAGTTTCCATCTTACCTGGACCAAACCTTGCTCCCCACCACCAGCTCCAAGGCAGAACAGAATGGTGGAAGAGGTGCAAGAATGTGACCTGTTCATTCTTCTTCCGCAGGACAAAGATCACCTGCAATGAGAACCCAGTAAGATCAAGGACCTGCAGCCCTGGGAGCAGATGGGACAATAATTTAGTGTCTGATCTCAGTGGCAGTTCCCCTTCCCCCCCCACCAAGCTCACTGCCACTACCCATGAGATCATTCCACAGCTTCCAGAGCTTTAACACACCAAGAGTGTCCTCTGCAATAGCCCAGCGTGTTCTTCTTGGTTATAAAGCCCGACAGAAGCACTACCAGGTCAGACTGGAAGGGCTGAAGTACACACCTATCTCAAATACACTGGGCCCCAAGTCCCTGCCCAGAAAGCAGTGACAAGGCTTTCTCACAGTAACTTACTCACCGTGTCTGTCAGTTCGATGAACTTTGAGAAGACAAAGAGCCAAGCAACACTGACCATCTGTAACAGAACAAGTTAATATTAGAGACCCACCTAGACTTGAAATGCCCATTGATCAAGAATGCTCATGCAGTAACCCTGGGGTGAAACCAAGAGCCAGAGACTAAGTCTTCTGCCTCAAGAAATGCAGGCAGCCATGACCTAGCTGTCCAAACAGAAGTACTAAAGGCCATCCCCACTACTTGGGAGAGAGACAAGAACTTACCCTGAGGGCCTTGGGGTCCTGCGAGAAGTCCACAGGGTCACATCTCCAGGTGTACCCAGTAAGCCACCCCGCCATCAGGAACTGCAACAAGAGCATCACCAGGGTGAGGCCCCACACATCACCCACTGCACTTTCCAAGCCCTGCACAGAAGTGCAGGCAATAGCCTGCAGAAGGACCCCCCACCATCTATGCAGCCTGTATGCAGGTTTTCATATGCCAGACAAAGCCTGCCATCAACAACTCACCTCATAGACTATGTAAAGAGAGAGGCCCACCAGAAAGAAGTTGTATAGCACCATGAACTTCTTTAGGTTTAAAGGCTTCCTGTTGGCCATTAATCGGGGACCCAAGGATAGTACAAAGTAGACATACGCCAGGAGGATGCCCATCACAAGGAACGGGGATTGCATCAGTGGATAATCAGCGATGCGGGGGTCTGCAGAGAAAGCCACAGCGCAGAGTGGTTAGCATCCTCACCCCAGGCTGCTGCCAGCAATGCTGCTGCCAGGGTGGACATAAGGAATGGCAATTCTGTTCCCCTGGGACAGGAGTGCAGGTCTGGAGGGACAGTCTGGGAACTGAGGCTGGTAAAGCCAACCAAACTCAGTAAGGTACAAGGGCATGAGTGCCCCAAAACAGGCTGCACACAGGCCCTGAGGCAAAACAGCCCAACAGGCAGCACAAAAACCCCAGAGCTGCATCTACACAAGGGAAGAGGTATGATGTAGCCAGACCCAGACTACTTCAGGGGTGACAGCCACCACCCCAGTGCCTGTGGCAGGAAGGCACGAACTGGACAGAGCCAAACACTCACCTGCTTTCTTCATGAAGTCCTGATACATGGTCACAATCCCCTCCATGGTGGTGGCAGTATCTATGGAGAGAAGAAGGGCAGATCAGGCAGCTGTTTTCCCAGGAGGCTGCCTGCAGAGCACAGGCCTGTGGATCAGAAGATCTCAAGTACAGCTTCAGAGATACAGTCATGTGTATCTGGCCAGCATTGCTCTCAACTAATCCTGCACCAGCATCTACTACCCAGTGGAACCACATGCTCCCCACTTCTCACTAATCCTGGCCCTGCCTCCTGAGCTCTGCTGGGAACCCCATCATACACTACCAGCAGTCCTTCCAAGGCAGATCCTAACATTTCAAGCTAGGACGCTTCGAGCCTCAGCACTGTATCTCCAGCCCCTTAGTCTTGCTCCTGCTGTACAGGCTCAAGCATTATCACCCATAACCATGATGTTGCTACCAGCCTTGCCTCCCATACCCACCTGCACGATGCTCTCTGCCTGACCCTGGTGGAAGGTCTTCAAGATGCAGAGCTGGCCCACAGCCTCCACAGAGCAGTGCTTTTACAATCAGCTTTGGGCTCCTGACCAGTGATTGCTGCCAGAGAAGCCACACGGCATCACTGGCAGACCCACTGCATGAGGAAGGAAAGCCATCAGTTCAGAAACACACGTTTCTGGTGCCAGAGTTCCTGGTTTCACACCCTTGCACAAAACTCTCCTGACATGAACTACCAAGCCATAACCCAGCACCTCAGAGGTGAGCTGCAGCTACTTGGCAATGACATTTCCACTCCTCTTCCAGACAGGGGACAGTATCTGTGGTGGAAAGGATATAAGGCTGCAGAGAGGTAGTCTGGTTCTCCCCATACTTGCTCAGCCTCACTCTAAGCACACACCAGTGATCCAAACAGATGCTCTCCATAATAGCAGGAAGGGCACAGGCTCTTGTTGCTGCAGGCAGGCTTCAAACACGTTCACCCAGGCCCCTGTGCTCCCCAGCCTAGAGAGCAACAGAAGGAAGGCAGCGCACAGGCCTTACCTGACTCACCCTGCTGCAAGGGAGGCATCCCCACAGCTGCTCCCAGACCTCCGAAAGGCTGTATGGGAACCACTGCCCACAGACAGGCCCAGGGAAACAGTCCCCAGCGCAGTTCCCTCAGGAAGTTTGTTACTGCCACCACCAGGAAGCATGGAGCCTCTCCCAGACCAGTAGCCAGAAGAACCTCCTTCCCAGTAAGGTCCCACCTGGGAGCATCCAGCAGCCATTGCTACCTCAAACCCCCATCAGCCAGCACCAGCATCGCTCTTTCAGCTTCACTGCAAGAGTAAGAGCTCAGTAAAGTCCTCTTTGCTCTAGCTGGGACCCAGACGGCAGCAGCAGACACTACCAAGCACCTACATGACAGGCTTTGCTGGCAGCAGTCTTCACAGGTGCCTGGCACACAGCATTCTGCATCACCATTCCCTACACCTCTCTTGAGTGCAGCAAGAGTGCTAGCTCTGTGCCTGCCCAGTCATACCCTCTGTGCTGTTCCAAAGTGAGCGCCACCCAACCTCTACAACAGCACTGGAGTGAAAGAAGTCTTCTTCACACCCACCCTTCCCACAGTACCCGTTCTTCCAAGCAAGGCTCCAGAGCAGCCTGCACAGCCACACACCCCAGGGACAGAGCCTAAGAAGTTCTGCTGTGCTTCAAAAACACAGAAAGTGATTCCCCATGTCATCATGGAAGCAGCTGCAACCCTAGGGCAAAGCCCACTCAGAACTGACCCCCATACCTCATGGGCATCAGCAGCAGAATAGATGCTCATCTTTCTAGTCCAATATTTAAAGGGGTTTAACAGCAAATAATACTCACTTGTAGTAAGTAATACTTAAGGTCCTGGGCACTGCCAAGGTTATCCACTCTCCACATGCAGCAGGGGCCAAGAAAGTGTAGCAGGAACTAGAGCATCCTCAAGAGCCACTCAAAGCTCCAGCTGTGGGAAATGCAGTAAGTACAAGTCCTGAAAGCTGCTGAGCTTTATGTTGATTTAATGGCTAAGAGCAAGCTCCAAACGTGTCCGTCTAGTTTCAGCTTTCAACCACTACATCCAGCTACACCTTTGCTACATTGAGGAGCCCTCAAGAGTTAGTTCCCAGCACAGGTACCTGACTACTAAAGCTCAGTGTTTATCTTATCAAGCTGAATTAGTCACCTTTACTATAGGTCCAGGGCAGACAGAACTCTTGCAGAGTGCTTGCCTACTTTAGGCAGGCTGGGATGAGAAGATGGTATCAGTCACCTACAAGCTCAGAGCTACATCTCACTGGAGGGAAACACCTGAGCTCAGGCACCACAGGTTCCTGTACTGACTGCAATGCCAGCAGGGCTCCAGCACCACTGGCCAATGAGGACCTCAAGTCAAAACAACTCAGGGAGACTTGGGTGAGAAGACTCGCACTGACAGACCTGCTGAAGGCTGCACAGAACACACAGCAGACGAGGGTCATCCTGGCAGCAACCCTGAACCCAGACAAGCATCCCATGCAATCAGTGGAAACAGCCTGCTTCCGCACAGCACTAGCAGAGAAGTTCCCACCAGTATGAACAGGAACAAGTCCCTGCTACTGCTCTGTCTTGTGAAGTGCCTCCAACACGCCATGCACACCAGGCAATCCACCTGTCCTGACCATGGGCTCTGGGTAAGAACCAGGACCTCTACCAGGGCAGAACAACTAATAGAATCACACTGCAGGCCCTTATGAAAAGCACCTATGCATGTCCCACAGCTTCTCAAGGCAGGAGACCCTGCTGCATTCAGCTAACAGAGCTGCCACATCTTCAGGGAACCGCCAAGGTTCTTGAGTCTTTGCAAGGGCTGGTGTCCACACTGGCATGCTACACAGTCCTGCACTAGACAGAGGCTGAAGTGTGCCTTGCTCAATGAGTAGATGCAAGTATGTCTAACCCTCCTCTGTCTCCCAGGGGAGAGCCACTGGCCTTGCGGTGTTGGCAGTCAAGCTGCAAAGGGGTAGTTGTAAAGCAGGGCTAAGCATTACCTTCACTAAGCAGAAGGATAAGCGCGCTGGTCTGCCTGAGCCATGATGGCTCCACACCAGCCTTTTTGCTGCAGGCAGAGTTCTTCCAGCACAAGCATCTTGGGAACCTCAACTCACCTCTGCCATTTCCTCTGTGCACAACACCAGCACTTGATGCATCTCTGCCCTTGAAGAGGGGTTCCCCATCCAGCCAGGCATGAGCTCTTACTGCTCTCCATGCTACATGCTGCAGATGTTTACAGCTCAGTGGCTGGCATCTGTCCTCTTTGTACAGGGGAGACACTCTCCTTTGACTCCTCCTGGATCCTGATCCTCTTGGGCAAGGAACTGGGAGGAGATGGGGAACCCAAACCTGAGCCTTGAACAGCTGAAGTCAAGTCAATGGGCCCAAGCATCCCAAAGCACCAGGAACCCTTGGGGCCCAAACAGACCCTGCACAATACCTAGAGACCTTGCAACACAACTCCTTCCACTTCTCACCAACAGAGAATCACTTCCCCATCTCAGCAAGAAAGTTCCCACTGTTTGCAAACCAGAGCATCAGGCCCCACACTACCACAGCAACCAAGGCTTAGATACTTGGTTACACCAAGCAATGCATACACTGCACATTCCCAACAAGCTATACAGCTATTAGTGCAACCTCAGCAAGAATAGCGAGGCCCTTTATAACCAGCCCCAGCAGTCAGACAACATTGTGAGCCACGACAGACCAGAGCTCAACCCAGTTAGTTTTGTCAATAGCCCCACAGGGTACATCTCTTCACACAGCAGCTATCGGCAACCAACACTCAGCCCCAGCCACCCAACACTCCTGCCTCCCCATCAGCTTTCGAGTCAGAAATCAGTCCTTTAATAAGTGTGAAAGCAAGCACCCTCATCTCCCCACTACTTTAATTACAGGCAGCACCAAAACAGTCTAGTAGGTGGCGACAGAGCTACCAGTGCAGGGTGAGCTGGCACAGGACCCTTGCTGAACTGCCTAAAGCAGGCCTGGTCACTGCAGGCATCCCAAGGGAGTAGCAATCCTCTAAAGTCAGGAGATAAGCAGATATCAAGTTAACTCACATCCCTGACCCACAGGCAGGCAGCAAGGCTTGACACAGCTCTGAGAAAGATGCATCTTCCGCCCCCAGCTCCCCACCACAGCACATTCCTGGATCCCCAGAACATCACTGTCACGTCCAGCAAGGCCCACATGCAGCTTCATGTATCCAGGGAATGTTTCCCAGCAGAGATATGGGGACCTGTGGTTCAGAAGAAGCTGCCAGCAGCAGCTGCTGCCACTGTGAAAGGAGTGGGATTGATCAACCCAGGATCTGGTGGCCCCAGACCAGGCATAGAGAGGGCTGTGCACAGCACACACTGAGGCTGGCACCTCAAACCATCACCAGGAGCTGTCAGTCACAGCTGCAGGAGACACGTCCTGGAAGCTCATGCACAAATGAGTCCAACAAGATGAGGAACACAAAACCGTATCTGCCATCAACAACACACAAGCAGTGAGGAAGTCAGAGCAAGACAAGAGTGAGAATGAGGCCAGCCAAGCAAAGCCTTCTTTATCCGCTGCAGCAGGATCACTAAAACTAAAGTTTATCATGAAACAGAAAAGCGGATTTGGCTTTCCTCCTGCTGATGCTCTGTGCCCAGGTGAAAAGGAGACTGTAACCAGACAGTGCATGCTTGCTTCACATCTCAGGACACCAGTTCAAGCACATGCAGCAGAGAGCTGTATTCAGGTACACTGCATTACTGCTAACCATTTCAGCCATCTTATTAAGGATTTAGTTAAGGTACTGTTGTCCACATGGTACCTAGGTAACATTCCCCACACACACCCTGAAGAGATATGCCCGTGCACCAACCCACAGGGTGCGTAAGACAAGTCTGGAAGGAAAGCAGGAGCTTCTGTGTTTCAAGTTCAGAACCCCATCCCAGCAGAGCAGAGCCAGAAAGTAGCTTCCCTAACCTGGCACCTTGGCTTTGAGAGAATAGAATCTGTTAGTTTGAGGACAACCAGTTCCAGAACTCTCAGCCCACAACATAACTACAAAGACTACAAGAAAACTTCATGCTAACACCGCCAGATAAGTTTTCCTATTTGAATCACATCCATTTGTTACTTCCTCTGGCTTGGCTACTTCATGCTCAGTATCAAAGGACACAGCTAACAGCCTGGTACCATATGCTCTGCATCATCATACTTGGAAGCCAGTACAGGAGGACTGTGTTCACAAGACAAGGGATGCAAACTCTCAAAACCTTGATATGCAACAGCTCTTGCAAGAGCTGCCACTGCAACTGGTGCAGGAGTTACACTGGCTGGTGCTGCTCCTGGCACACAGGCTTCAAGCAGCAGGAAGTGACCTGTCTGAAGCCAAGGAGTTTCTCCATCTTCACCAAGTGCGTGTTAATACCCTACCACTATCTCACACTGTGTCTGTAAAACCCTGAGGCCTTTGGATAGCATGCTACAAACAGATTAGGCTCTCCCCTTCCCATGGAGAGCTGGAAGCAGGGAGACTCCCAGATTAGCAGGCAAGCTCTGCAGAGCCTGAGCAATCAGAGTGGCACCTCGCAAGCCTTCAGGGGAAGAAAGTCCATTGCAATAGGATATAGTAACCTTGTACAAGAGGCAAGGCAGGTCATCAGACTTCAAGGTCCCACAAGAGCATGCAGTAGAAGATCTATATGCACAGAACAGTGTGTTTTCAGGGACAGCACCTCCCCTGACTGATCAGGCAATCTCTTAAAGTAGGCTTACTCCTTATCACATTCCGTACTGGTGGCTGCATGTGCAGGGCACTGGTATCAGTACAGATGAGAGCAGCTGGGGAAAAGGCAACACTAGGCAAGAAGTCCAACATAGCAAGGAACAAAGGATTAAAAAAAAAAAAGGGAGAAAAGCAAAGGGCAAGATATCTGCAGAAGGGGAAAATAAGGTACTTCCTTTCTAACAACACTGAGCTATGTCTGCTTCCTCATGCTGGGAAGGAGATAGCTGGGCTCCTCTCTGAGGGGATGGAACCCAGCAGCCCCCCAGGGTACACAGGGGAGCACACCCAAGAAGGACAGAACTATGCAGGCAGGGCTGAGCCAAACCAGCTCCTAACACCCACTTCAAGAAATAGGTCAAGCCTTCCAAAGCCCTCCAGCACAGGAATACAGAACACCCCTATCTGGAGGTGGGACAGTCTGTACCAAAGCATTCATCTCTGGTTTTAATCACTAGGCAAGTGCCTCACTACAAGGCTTCACCTGTTCCCACAGCAGTGTCTGTAATCATTACTGTGTAATGATTACATTGCTCTGTCCCATCCAGGCTTGTGTATTAATTGAAGAGGCACATCAAGAAAAGATGGATATTAAAAGCCTACAAAGCGAGATGCAGAAAGACTAAAGTCCTTCCAACAGCTTTATCCAGATGATTCAAGAAACCCAATGGTGAACCCAGAGCCACTTCTCATTGAGACAGGGGATACTGTCTGGAACTTGCCCTGACATTAGCACTGGGCCACTTATATCCTCCACACCGAGGCAGCAGCACAGTCACACTGCCACCTTCTAACAAGAGAAGGGCATGTTCTCTGACAACACTAGAGATGTTACACTCCAGGAGCACAGTATATGCACCACAGATCCCCCAAAGCGTAAGGCTTAATAGATACCACCTTCAATAGGGTTCAGATCCCTCCACACACAAAGAAAGCATTAGGCCTGATTATCTCCACAAGGTACACATGGACCACTCAAAGCCAGGGCTCTTGTTGCTACTGCTGGTCCTGTACAGAAAGGGAAATCCTCTTAGGGTTAAGCAGAACAAAACATAAATCTATGTACAGGACAAAGCTATAAATAAACCACGAGAGCAAGCTATCTGATCTGATACACACGCTAAGAGCCTGTAGAACTTGCTGCCACAGTGACAGCTTACCACCCCGACCCATCCCACAGCAAAGAATCAACCAGAAATTAAATACCCTGTGAGACTAAGGGAAATCAAGCACCATCAGACCCAGTTACCACCTCCACGATCCCCAAGCTGCTGAAGTCTCAGCTGCATCCAGACACAGGCCTCCTGATAGGGAGCCAGCTGGGGCAGCTTGTCATCTCTGAGCAACAACAGCCCCACAAGTCTTGCAGGGAAGAACTCTGGCTCCTGGTGACCAGCTCCTCCCTGCAGAGCCCAGGCTGCCTCACCTGTTTGACTGGCAAGAACCAGACTTTCCAGCCCAAGTACTCCCACCATCTGACAGCCAGCAGGACACATGCTAGCATAAATCCAATACAAAAGTACAGGAATACAGAAGATCTCGTGGACCATCACAGGCACCACTCCCAGTATCTCCTGTAATCTTCTTCCTAAAGTAAAGATCTCAGCCTGGGTGTTGACTGCCCTGGAACCCCAACAGGAAAGAGGAAAACATTCACTGCAACCTTCAAGGACAGTACCAAGCCAAGCACGCAGCAGTGCACCTGCTTCTGATGCCAGCTTCAGAGCTTCCTAGGGATACAAAGCTTTTTTTCCACCAGGAGAGAAAGGAGACACTATGCACCTTGAACAAGCTCACTCATTTCAAGACATCGTACAACACTTCTAGATCAGAGCGAG